TTATGTTTTTAGGAAAAAAGTCAATACAGAAAATTTATTTAAAACCCATACGATTATATGTACACAATTCACTGTAATTTCAATTTTAAATTCTGGCACCAGTTCTAGAATCAAAATTTATTCAAGTCTCAGGTCACTCACTGTGTGGCTTTTCGTGGCTTTGAGCTTCAGTTTTTGTGTATAAAATGGGAGGCATAGACTAGATAAAATGGTAGAACTTTGCTGTCTCTTCCAGTTTTAATATACTGATTATGATGTAGCAGAGAATGCTGTTTCCCTCCACCATACCATGTATTCCCTTCTTTTACTGAACAGACAAAACTCTTGCATCATCTAGAGTGTTGTAGACTGAATTGTCTACCCTTAAATTCACATACTGAAGCCTCACTGCTTAATGTGACTATATTTGAAGAGGGGCCTTAGGAGGTAATTAAGGTTTAATGAGGTCATAAGGGTGGAATCCTAATCCAATAAGACTGGTGATCTTTAAGGAATGCATGCAATCAGAGAAAAGGCTATGTGAAGACATAGGGAGATGTCCCTTTGCCAGCCAAAGTCAGAGGCCTCAACAGAAACCTACCTTGCTAATACCTTGATCTCAGAATTCCAGCCCCCAGAAGTATGAGAAGTGAATTTCTGTTGCTTACGCTCCCTGGTATATGGTTTCTGTTATGGCAGTCTGAGCTGACTAGTAATACAGATGATAAGAAGAGTGGATAAATGAAGGCTGTGAGGCTGCTCTAGCAGGAAGACGTTTCTCAGAGGTATTTGCAAGTAGAGGTAGCCAGGGAACTATCTATAGAGATTTTTGTGGATCTCCTAGTAAAGTTTATTAAATGTGACCATCCTGGTTAGGATGCAGACCCTGAATGAGGTTCTCCATCCAGTGCCTCCTTGAGAATCTTGCTCAAGAATGCAACGAGGGGGGCCTCCCCTGGTGGCGCAGGTTGTTGAGCACTGCACTGTGAAGCTGTCCGCAGCCTCTGCAGTGCCAGGTTCGATCCCGGCTGGCCGGCGAGGGTCCCATATGGCACGACAGACCTCTCCTGCCGCGCCTGCTGCTCCCCTCAGCAGTGCATTTCCTTGGTCTGCCTGTTCTGTTCCCCGCTCTGGCTCTGGTGAATTCTCTCACCCTCCTGCGCTTCCGACTATATCAAGTGCTTGTATAAATAAATAACTAAATCTTAAAAAAAAAAAACACAAAAACAAAAAAACAGAAAATGGAGACCAAATCCCACCAAAAGGCAGGGATTTAGTGTTGAGTCTTTGGCTACTATGGTTTACTCTACGCATGCTTCATAATTCAGCTCTCACTGTTTTGGGTAGGGGGTCCTGTACCTTCCTTCTTCTAATCGCAATGGGACTACATAAGCTGTAAAGATGCCTCAAAGACACATATATTGCAGAAAAGGTTATTGGTAGAAACAGTAGGTCAAAAACACTGGTAGCAGGGATTTCCCAGACCCCAAGCTACTCCTGTCTCAGGGTGGTAGAGCAGAAAGGATAGCACCACCTGGGTGTCACGTGAATGTGGAGGCCTCTGCTAACCCTGAGTCCTCTGTTTCAGCTCCTGTGTTACATGAGATTAAAAATAATAAGCCTCTTTCTTCTTTGAGCCTCAGTTGTTTGGGTTTTCTGTTATATGCAGCCAAACCTAATCCTAATTGATTGATCTATGAAGAGGCTTATTTGAATTTGTGGTAAGATAATGGGTATTAACTTTTATCTTTCTGATCCCTGTCTCCACTCTGAGTCAAAATTGCTTTTCTTTGCACCTGCCAAAATTAGGAATGATTTTCCATTCTGAGCAGGTCTTACTCAGATACCTTTCACTGACCTGACTCCGGGTTGTTTTGTGCTTTTTTTCTTTTTTTTAATTATTAAACCCTTTAGTTTTTAAGCAGTACTCAGATATTAATTGACACAGGTTTTATTTATTTATTTATTTTTAAATATTTTATATAATTCTTACATCATTTTTCGTTTTTGTACAATGTATGCATTTTCATTTTGGTTATATTCCCCATACAATTGCACCCCCCCTTATTTTGACCCTAATCGGTCCTCTCCCCGTGCCCCTCCCCCCCCATAATGTGTCTTTGGTTTATAGTTGTTTGTTGATTTTGATTTTTACTTTGTATTAATTAGTCTTTTTCCTGGTCCCTTATTTAGGTTTTCTAAATTCCTGCTATGAGTGAGACCATCCGGTATTTTTCTTTTTCTTTCTGACTTATTTCGCTGAGCATGATCTCTTCCAGCTCCATGTTGCTGCAAACTGCATGTGACACAGGTTTTAACCCTCTGGATGGATTCTTTGTCATCCAGGTAATGGATTTAGCCAATAGTCAAGCTTTCTGGGGGGAATTTCAGGTGTGGGGGAGCATCTGCTTCAGAGGGAGTGAGAGTGGGTAGGATGTGACCTGGCCTTATTTAAAGTCCTCTAAGACAAACATTGGCCTGGTACTGAGCACCCCTTAACTACTGCCCTCATTTAGAGCACCAACGCATGGGTTCTTAGCTTTTCACTGGAAACATAGAGCAATTTCTAGGTATAAAGAATTATTTATGGGGAATTTGCAAATGTTGTGTTTTGCCTCCTTGTAGCCTTATGTGTAACCCATCTTTGGCAGTGCAGATTCTTCCTTAAGAACAATACACGGAGTGTTAATTCATCTTTCCCGATGTAAAGGAAAAGTTGCAGTGTCAGGAGTTCATCAGACTTATTATTGATTGAGCGTCTCCTTTAATTCTGTATTTCAAAGCTGTATTCTCTGTGCCGTCCCAAGAAACCCAGCTCAGTGTAGGTGCTAATTTGAACTACTAGAAAATGTTAACAATTTTAAATAATATTAAAAGGAAAACGGTATTTAAAGTTTCTTTCATTAATTCAAAAAATTCTTGAGTACCTACTCTGTATATTGGCAGTATTGCCTTGGGGATCTGGTCTGTGTTGACCCTGGTAGATCTTGCCATCTCCAGGGGCTGGTGAATTAAATGCAAATTGCACTGGACTTGAGCTGCAGCTCTGTGCTCAGTGCTGTGCAGGGTGCTCTGAGAATGTGTTGCAGAAAGGTAGCTGGCTTTAGCCTGCTCTGGGGCACTGTTTCTGAACAGGGGGTGAGCTTCACCCTCCCTTTGCCCTCCACCATTTGTTGAAGTCTAGAGATGTTTAGATTGTCACAGGGCATGGTTTGGCAGAGAGTGTTACTGGATCTAGAACCAGGGGTGCACAGGATATTCCACCTCTTTGAAGAATTTTCTAACATGTCAGGAGTGACAGATGCAGGGGCTGAAAACTTCCTAGAGGCAGGAACACTAGAGCTCAGATCCGACAGGGGAAACAGGCATCAGTTAAGTGAAGGGAGGAAGAGGAAAGGGAAAGAACTTGGTGCTGCAGGAGAAACCTAGTGGAGAAGGACAGGACTGCAGAGACTGATGGGAAAGAAAGGTGATGTTGTGGGGAGGGGAGAGGGATGCTGGGAAGATCTTTAGGGGCCATGTTTACACAGAACCTTGCAGAAAAGGGTGAGGAGTTTGGACAGTCCTTAGAGCAGTGGGAAGGTGTTGAAGGGCTATCCTAGGAGAGTGACATAATTTGACATCTGTTTTAAGATGCTCACTCTGTGGTACAGGGATTGGAAGGGACCAGTGTGGATGTCGGGGACCACTGAGGAATCCACTATGTGAGAAATGATTAAGAAACTCTAAGACAATGTGATTGATTGAATCGTGGGCTGAGAGAAAAGGGTGAGGTCAAAGATGAGTCATCGTTTCCATCTTTAGCTGTGGGTTGATAGTGATGCTGTGTACTGATATAGGCACTAATGGAAGGGAACCAGATTAAAATTTTATTTGTAAATGTAGGTAAATATAACAACCATAAAATTCATCATTTAAACCACTTTAAAATATGCTGTTCTTCGCAGTAAGTACCCCAGACATTTTTCTAAAATTTACTTTCGGGCTGCCCCAGTGGCACAGTGGGTTGAAAGCAGCGCTGTGAAGCTGTCCACAGCCTCCGCAGCATGGGTTCGATACCCAGCCGGCCAGGGAGAAGCCCACATGGTGCGGCAGACCTCTCCTGTCTCGCCTGCTGCTCCCCTCAGCAGTGTATTTCGGTTCATCTGCCTGTTTTGCTCCCCGCTCTCTCTGGTGAATTCTCTTACCCTCCTGCGCATCTGACCTGTACCCCAGCTTTTGTATAAATAAATAAATCTTAAAAAAAAAATTATTTTCCAAGGCCTCCGTGGTGGCTCAAGGGGTTAAGTACAGTGCTGTGAATCTATCCGCAGCCTGTGCTGCATGGGTTCAATCCCCAGCCAGCCAGGGAGTTCCCACATGGCCCAGCAGACCTCTCCTGTCTTGCCTGCTGCTCCCTTCAGCAGTGTATTTCAGTCTGCCTGTTCTGTTCCGTGTTCTGTCTCTGGTGAATCTTCTCACCACCACCCCCAACACCTCTGTACTGTACCCCACTTCTTGTATGCATAAATAAATAAATCTTTAAAAAGTAAATAAAATAAAATTTACTTTCCATATTTTGGGGAGGTGAAATACTAGTTCAGTTTGTGTAAGTTGAGTTTGGGATGCATGTGAGATGCTCAGATACTTTTGTCAGGTAGGCAGTTAAATCTGGGTTTGGAGCTCAAAAGAGAGGTCCACTGGAGAGAGATGTGGGGGCAATTTGTGTCTTTTTTCTCCCTGAAAGAACTTTGATTGACAAAATAAATCCATTTAAGATTTTACTTAAAAAATGCATGCAGACCAAAGATTTGGTAGAGGTTGGAAAGAAAAAAGTCTTTATCTGCGTGATATAAAACTGCAGTTTTAGACAAAAATAAATGAGTAAAAGTATCAAGTAAGATTTGAATGTATTTCAAGTATAGCAATCCCATTTTCTCCTAGGGATATGACTTATTTTCACTCCTAAAGGAATATTTTATGATCTGAGAAGATGATATGTTTCAGTTTACATCATTGGTCCCCATAAGAAGCTCAAGGCTCTTTATACATTATGTTGAATTTATTTTCTCCAGATTCTTGAGGGTGGATACATGGGAGCTTGTTCTTCAAGTAGGAGATGAATGAAGTAAAGGAATGTAAATGGCCAACGCTTGCTGCAAAAATAGCCCCGTGAAGTCCCGCCACTGCCTGTCTAGCTGACCATCAATTTATGTTAGTCTTTAGCACACACAAGAACCAACACCGTGTCCGAGTCCCCTTGATTAAAATACATATTCCTGGGTTCCAGCTCCAGATTTTCCTGATTTAAACGCTCTGTGATGAGGCCTGTGAATCTTCATTTTTAAAGACCTGAGGTGAGTTACACATGTAAGCAGTGCTTGAACCCTGGCTGGGCCACCATAGATGTAGCAGCTATAAACTGGACAGTGTTCATGCTCATCTGTAGAATGTAAAGATGGTTGCTTTACCTTTACAATGAAATGAGGAGGTGTTTTGGAGGGAGCAGAGGTCTACTATCCAGCAGTCAGGTGTTTTATCTATTGGGGAAAGGAACCAGAAACCTCAGAACTGAGTTTAAACTAAGATTTCTTTCTCTGGTTTCAGCATCATTTGGTAGATTTTCAAATGCCACTGGAAAGACTGTTGTGTGGCACACAAGTTTAAAAAACTAGAGCAGTGGTTGTTAGAGCAAAGGTATTTTTTTTTTTTTAAAGATTTATTTATTTATTTATACAAGCACTGGGTACAGTCAGAAGCATGGGAGGGTGAGAGAATTCACCAGAGACAGAGCGGGGAGCAGAACAGGCAGACTGACGAAGTACACTGCTGAGGGGAGCAGCGGGCGGCAGGAGAGGTCTGCGCACCATGTGAGACCTTTGCCTGGCAGCCTTGATCGAACCAGCGCTGCAGAGGCTGCGGGCACCTTCGCAGCCCAGTGCTCAACCCCTGCGCCACCGGGGGAGGCCCTAGATCAAAGGTTTTTGGACAATAAACAAGTAAGTTCTTGAAGAGGTTAGACCAATTCAGCCTGTAGCTACCATGACTTTGGTGATACTGATGGGGGTGCTTTTAAAACTCACTTCTTGTATTGTGAAAATAGATGCCCAAAAGTTAAGCATAAATTGTGCTTTATAAACCGAGCCTGACAGCTCACTGTCTGGTAGTGGGATTGCAATTCAAAGTGGTGGGAAATACAGATTTCCTTGTGTTGTTCTGGAATAGCGGCTCTCGTGTGCTCTGGTATGTTCTTGGGGGTTGTGGAAGCAGGGATTCTTCTGACCCCAACCTCTGACTCAGCCTATGAAACATGCTTATGAGAGTGGTTTTTTGACTCTCTCCTGAAAGCCTATTTGAGTTGGAATTTTATTTTCATATCCCGAGTGACATATGGGTTTTCATATCATTTAAGTGAGATGAGTCAAAGCAAATGATCTTTTTCTTCCTAAAATATACAGTTATTTCCTATTTCCCCCATTTATTGTCCTTCCTGTATATATATTACGGTCTGGCACATAGAACATATTGGTCCTGGCAGACTTTGTTGCCAAGTGAAGAAAAATTTGTGTTCTACACACCATTTTCCCATTGACTATTGTGATACATCAGGAGATGTGTATCAGGGGAGCAAGATGAAGTTTGGGTGAGTAGTAGACTTAGAAGAGGACTGTCAGATCTGCTCACTGCCATATTGGGGAGGGGGAGGGCCACAATCCTTCCCTTGTTACTTCTCTCAAGTGGCTGAATCACTTTGTAAAGGTTGTAGAGCCCATGGAATGGGGGCACAGGGTTCCTTGCCCTGAATATTGCCCAGCTCTTCACTTGCCAGGCTAGCAGAATTGTGCTGGCATCTGACACCTGGGCAAAACTATGCCTCTTTCTGTGTGTGTGTGTGGGGGGGGCGGCGGGGAAAGCCTGGTGCAATGCTGCACTGTGCTTGCACTGGCTGGCTTTCATTCTCTAGTTCCCCTTTAGGGAAGGGAGCCAAGGCTCAGTAGGGCTGAGTTGCTGGCCCAGGTTGCTTCACTTCTAAGTGGGAGAGCCTGGATTTGAACCGATGTGGTGTGAGTGTAGACTCTGTCCGTAGCTGTGCAGCGCCTCGGAGCCAAGCAGGCCCACAGCCCAGGTACTGCAGCATCCTCCGCTGTGCCCGAAGCTCTGTGGAGAGCACGCATTAAAATCTGCTTAAAGAACTGCTTCTTCCTTTGCTTTTCTCTCTCGCTGCCTAGTCATTCCTTTTTGTCTCCTTTGAGTTTTGTCCCTGTAATATTGGGGTTCCTGTGTCCCATTGTTAACACCCCACACTGTTTCAGTCAGCCAATTTAGTTCCATTGTCCTGTGGAGACACTGGGTTGGTGCCTTTCTCGCTCCCTCTGTGCTGACTGCCACGCTCAGGTTCCTGCTGCTGTTGGTTGTTTCCCGTTGAATGTCTTATAACACTGGATTGAGTTTCCCACTCATCTGCTGTAGGGTAAATGATTGTCAGGCTTTTCTGTCCTCCTGCCATCAGGATAGATGATGGATCCCTGCGGTCCTGAATGCATGCCTGATGGTGGGCACCTGGAACAGGGTGTGGGCATGGATAGGTGAGCACACCTGGGCTGAGAGTCTGGGCTTATAAGGGCGGCATCACAGGAAGAGAAGAGAGCAGAGAATGAAAGAAGCAGAGGAGAGAGAACGAGACTACGAGAGCACGCTGGAGACCCCAGAAGGAGTGAAGATTCACGGGGGGCTAGGCCCCCCAGCACCCCTGCCTGCCATGTACCTGGTAAACGCAACAAAAGCCTGAAAAAGCCACCGAGGGCTCTCGGACTCTCCTTTACCTGTCTGCTCGGTTCATAGAGATCCTACTCCATACCTTCCTGCCGCTACATCTGTTCACTCTCCTTTTTCTCTAGCTGATGAATGGACCCTAGTCTACACCACCCGAAGCCTGGAATTGATACAGAATCACCTCACTCATCTCTTTTGCTCATCAACTCCATGGTCTATCCCTCCTTCATCCATGCTGCTGGTGGGTTCTGCTGTGTAAATGCCCTGACACTTCTTGCTCATTTCCCACTGTGCCCAGGGACTGCCTCATCTCTCATTGTCCGGTGCCTTCAGCCTTCCAGCTGGTATGTTATATCCCTTTTGTCCTCCCACAGATCACCCCACGATACAGCTAACCTGCTTAAGACACACATTGCAACATGGCACTCCTCTTCTTCAAAGCCCACCAAATCTTTTCAGGCACTCAGAATAAAACCGGGCTTCCCACAACTAACCCCTTTCAAAATACAGCCCCTGGCATGACCAGCCTCAGCTTTAGCCCCAGTCACTCTCCTTTTTGCAGGCACCCTGCTCCTCCTATGTGGGCTTTGTATGCAGAACTGCGGGCACGCGTCTATTTCTGGGCCTCCTTGTCTTTGTACTCTAAGTCCCTGCTGCCTGGAATTTACCTCCTCAATCCTGACTTGAGCTTGTTCCAAGCACTCCCCTCCCTGTCAGCCTGCCCCTCCCTCTGCTCCCCTGTCTGGGTGAGGTGCCCTCTCCCACTACAAGGCCAGGAGTTTCCAGAGCCAGGTAAGACACAGTCTACTCTCATACCTCAGAATGTTAGTAGCTCCTCCGATAACAATGGTGATTAGTTGCATTTGTTGTAAGGCTAACGGACAAAACATTGTTGAAGAAAACAATGTTCATTGACAAGATCCTTTCCTTAAAAGGGGGTTTACTTAAAGTCATAGTGTCCAGAAACCTTAGAGACAATAAGCGCCTGCACTAACTGCACTCTCTTTACTGCCCTGAGCAGCTGTGCACTGGCTGACTGATGGCTTGTATCTGGCGTTAGTCAGGAGCTCCTCAGGGAGCTGCTCCTCCATCTAACCTGGCTCTTTGTGTTGTGTGTGACACATAATCTACACACAGCCACTCTTAGATTTTCTGCCCAACAAATGAGAATATAAATTAATAATGATAATGATGCTAGTTGCTAACAGCCAGCACACTTATCTTGTGCCAGCCCCTGTTCTAGGAACTGTAGGGAGGCCAAGCCATTGCGCCTTGGCCACTGCTTGGACCGTTTCTGTTGTGCAGTGTGTGGTGACAGGCCCTCACTCCTGGGGTTGTGTTGTGGGGCCCTGTGGTGGATGGAGCTGCTGTTTAGCTGGTCCATAACATCAGGGAAAGTGGATTTGTCTGAGGGCCTGAGAAGGAGCACAGAAAGGCACCTCTCCCCAACCTCCCTTCTTCCCCTCCCAGTTGCTAGACCCAGGTTTCTTCAAAATAGGTAATTGGAACCAAGAAATTGGCTGTGGTCTGTGCATCCTGGAGCTTAAAGCCCCCTCCCGAGGACCTGGAATTAATCCTGAAAAGCTCCAAGGAGTGGGAACCACTGGGGCTGGAGCTGTGCGGGGTGAGACATTTTTTGTAAGTAGGTCACAGGAAAGAAAGTGAAGCCCCAAAAGCTTCTTCCTGTGAGGTGTCAGTATAAAACTCTGACCTTGTGGGGGGCACCAGCTCCCAGGGTGTGTGCTGTGAGCTTTGGGGCAGGTGGTTTTATTCCCCTCTCCTGGCTTGTGCACACAGGTCCACCCAGGCTGCCCAAATGGATGGTAATTATTTTCACCACCAGCAGAGTTGTCATTGCATCTATCCTCTGAACTTCTACTGGATGCTGAGCTCTGCTCTGAAGCTTTATGCATTGCCTTACTAATCCTGGCAATGCCCCAAGGTGGGTTTATTGAGCATCTTAGTTTTTGTTTTGTTTTTTTTTTTGTAATAAATTTGGCTTCTTTGGCAGCTTTACTGGAAAAGTTTGGGAGCACATGCTGAGGAACAGGAACAAAATACTGGATAGGACTTAGGAGGTACAATAATTTTTTCTGCATGGGCTTGGGGTCTGTCAATCCCGCACAGGAATTTCGAGAAAGGATAGTTGATTAGTGTTGCTTAAGTGCATTGCAATTAATTGCTCTCTAGTTTTTCTTGTACTCTAGGGCTTAGGTTAACCTATAAATCTCATTCCCAGGTTAGTTGTAAGATCTTGATTTATCTCCCAGTAACGGTGTGCTAACACACTATTTGGCTTGAATTATTTAGAGTTATCATGAAACAGGTCTTATTTCTATTGCCTGCCCTGATTTGCACTTTAAATATAGTTCCCTGTTGAGAGTCCAGGATTCTCTCATTTCAGCTCTTCTAATCAGGAACAAAGATCAAACACACCCACTGGTGACTACCCATCTGGGGTAAAAATTTCTGGCCCAAACAGCAGTGTCCGGGGAAGAGGGATTACCCGCTTACTAGAGAGCATCTCCAATTCCTCCAGCAATATCCACAGATTCCCCAGCCATGAGACCGCACTCTCACCTTACATGGCCCAGAAAGATGGCTACAAATCTTTCTCTTCCTTATCTTAATGATGGTACTTTTTTCAATTTCTGGAAAAATGACAGGCCCAACTTCCCTTCTGACTAAGGTCATATTAAACAAATCACATCAATGATAAATGTCACTACAGTAAAAACTACTGAATTTGTAAGGAAATTCTGTTTCATAGATTAAAAATAATTGTGGTTGGAGAAGATCCTGGCACTTTTGCCCCCCCCCCCCCGTTGAGGGCTTGTTCTATTTCCTGACTGTAGATTGTAATGCCATTAAAATTTTGAGTCCTATAAGAACAAAAAAAATAAATAAATAAATAAATAAATAAATATAGTTCCCTGTAGCAATTCACCGGAATTCATGTTGAAAATAGAAAAGGGAAAATTACTTTTAAACAGCAGTTTGGCATATAAGAGCATGATTTACCTTGGAATTTTTCTCCAGCTGTACATTAAGGCCAAGCTTTCTAGAATATTTTTTCCCTATTGGATCTGGAAATTAGAATGAAACCTAAACAGCAAACACTGAACCCCAAGAGGTTACTCCCTCTGGTTTGGGGGAGTTCATATTTTCTTCTCTCCTTCCCTCCCTCAGGGGGCATTAATCTCCTGCTGTGCGCATTTGTTAGGATTGTTGAAAGTGAGAGGTAATTTCTTATCTCATTTGCTAATTTTTCTCACTTTTCTTCTCTATTTGCATCATTTCCTCTTCATTTCCACTAACTATAAAAACCAGAATGTTGTTGATAGGAATTCTGCAAACAATTCATTCTTTTAAGATTGGATTTATCAGTAGCATAGCATTTTCTGTGCTTTCAAACACATTTAGTCCTTTGATGATTTGTTTTATTTAGATTTTGGAAATGTAAAGATAAAACCAACCTGTATTTTTTTTTTATATTCACCTGGTGGGAATTATATTGTCATATGCTTCCTTTTATGATGGGTAGTAACTCTGATAGCATTTCTTTTGTTATTTCTTTAAGAATTGTATAATTTATCTTTGTCATAGAAAAAAAGGAAGTTTTAATTTCACAGCAGAATGAAGGGGAGAATGACTTTTTTGAAGGGATATTTTGACTCTTGATCTATGCATTCTTGGAGAGAACTAAACTCTAGTTTACCTTTCCTCAGAAACTTATTTTCTGAATGAAGATGCTAGGGTATCTTGATTAGGATAAGTTGAATTTTTGGAATTTACTTGATTTATGGGAATCTCTCCTCTATGAATTCACTACTTTAAACAATAACATTGTCAAATAATATTAGCTGCTTATTCATGAAAAAATGTGATGGATTAATATCTGAGCTAGTAGCTAATAAAGACATGTTTTCTTCTGTATTGAATGGACATTCTGAAGGGCCAGGGGGCTCTGTGATGTGCTCTTCTTTTTTTAAAAATAATTTTATTTTTTTATGCATACAAGAACTGTGGTGTAGGCCAGAGAGGTAAGGGGTGAGAGGATTTACCAGAGACAGAGTGGAGAGCAGAACAGGCAGATCCACTGAAATACACTGCTGAGGGGATCAGCAGGCAAGACAGGAGAGGTCTGCTGCACCATGTGGGTTAGCTCCATGGCCTGGGATCAAACTCCTGTCACAGTGGCTGGTAATAGCTTGATAGCACTGAGACTTTAACCCCTGCACCACCAGGGAGGCCCTGCTGTTCTTTTTCACATAGCCATTTGACCTTGCAAAAAAGTAAGGTAAGGCTGAACACTGGTTGATACTACATGTTGAGTCATTGAACATGTTTAATTGAGAATATTATTTTTTCTTGATTAGAGAGCCTTGGCTCTCCACCTTTGGTATTAGGAATTGATGGGGTCAGGAAGATAAATTTTTGCATCACATTTATCTATTTGATTGACCACAAGTTTTATATTCTGCAGATTGTCACTGTGTTCTGTGGTGCTGGGTGATGTTAATGTGTTACAACCTTTGTATGTTTATGAATAATTTCATTTCAGATGTCTTTTTGAAGAGTTCAAGCCTGCTACTAACTGAGGGTGAAATAAAATGAAACCAAAAAATTAAGTACAATTTAAATACTGTTTGGAGGTTAAAGCTCTCCTTTTTTTTTTCTTAGAACTTAATGAATGATTTGTGTTTGTGTATAAAAAGTGAGAAAGTAGGTCTGATTTCTAAGTAAAATAGGGGGATAGGGGAATTCACTAAACTTCAGCCCAGGGTTGCTCTGCCTGCTGTAAGGAGTAGACAACCCTTAAATGATGGTTTCCCTCACAGGCATCATGAAGACGTTCATTCGTTCTTAGGTTCATTCACTTGGTGAATATTTAATGAGTTTCTTCTGTGTGTTATCTAGATGGTAGGTTCCAGGGCAAACAGTATATAAAAACTCATTTCCTGCCCTCATAGAGCTTACCTAATCCATAAAACAAGCAATAAATCAACACATAGTCTGTCAGTGATGGCAAGTGCTCTGGAGAAGAATAATGCAGGGTGAGAGAGGTATGGATAGAAAGGAGTGGGAGATTTACTATTTCTTATGGTAAGTGTGGTCTCAGGAGGCCTCATATGACTGCTGTTATCTAAATTCCATGCATAGAGGTTCATCTGACTTACATTTCAATTTCACCCAGCCTTTTGAAATGTCATCCTGGAAATGGAAATGATTAAACTATGTTAGTCATTTGCTTCTTCGGGTGTGTGTGCTTTAGAGTTTTTTCCTTTGAGCAAATGTTAATGGAGAGAGACTCTGAGGCTGAGGCTGTCTGGGGGTGGGGTGGCACCAGAGGTGCCCAGTGGGTGAGGTTGTCGCCTGCCTCTGGGAAGGGTCTCCTCTTACCCAGGGATTCCTACCACTGATGCACCTTATGCTGTTGGTCCATGGAACTGCCTAACCCTTTGAATACTTTTCTGCTGTCTGGCATTGCCCATTCACTCCTGGGAAATGCTAATTAAAGAAAGTAAACTATGAGATACTCTCCTCTTAGCTCCTCAGGAAAAACATACTGTAAAATTAAAGGTATTATTTTTTTGTCTGGTTAACCTTCCTGGCTGTTTAATTTATCATTTTGTCTATTTTTCAGTGTTACTGTTACGCTACTTTTTAAAATGTAGAACTTAGCTGTATCTCTAGGGAGCTATTTATGTATTTACGAACTCTGACTCAGAACATTAAATCATCCTGCATGGGAAATGGTTTTGACTCCCTGCACTCTCCTGGTCCCATTGCTGTAGTAGGTTCTGGTACCTCTTCTTACCTGTCCATAGCAGTGTCTGCACCACACTGCTAACCCTGCAACTCTCGAGACAAAGCTTGCTCCAAATTTAGCTGTTACCAGCCAGACTCCGGCAAGCACTGTCAGAGTGGGAATGTGTACGACTTTCCTCTGGATTCTCAGGAATTCTCTTGTGCTTAAGAAAGCACTTTAAGAAGTTGTACACATGTTTTTCTGTGCTTTATTTCTGAAGATACAAACGATGTACGCAGATGTACTCTTTGAGGTAGTATTTTTCTAGCTTGGTCACCTAAGCGTGTTGACTTCGCACTGATGAATAATTTTAGGTCTGGAGATGAAGGCCGTCAGCAGTGCTGTTTGCAGTTTGCAGCAATGCAGCTGCTTAAAAATGAGCAAAATCTGTCTTGTTAAAGTATCCTTTTCCCCCTCATTTTAAGCAGAACTGTTGAATTTGAGAATGAATCTTAATTGCTAATTTTAATGTAAAAATGTTTCCTTTTTTCTAGCTTTTGCTTTGGTTTCTGAAGATCTAAAGAAAGAGGTCAAGCAATCAAAGGTACTAATTTCTATGATCATATCTACTGTGATTCCTTTTTCTTTTAGTGAAACTGATTTCATCTTTCAGTAGTTATCAATTTTTTAATGTTTTTTTTCTTTTCTTTTTCTTTTTTATATTAATTTTTAAATTTTTTTTTACATCATTGTTCATTTTTAAACAATATTTGCTTCTCCCCACCCCTTCAGGTGTAGTCCCCATAGAGTTTCCCTCACCAATGCACCCATGCACCATCACCTCAGTCCCCTCTGCTCCTCCCTCCCTCCCTCCCTCCCTCCCTCCCTCCCTCCCTCCGATCCCTCTCCCTTCTCCCCTGCACTATGTCTCTGATTTATAATTGTCTGTTTTTGCTTTGTTGTGTTTTGTACTGTTTTTATTTTTTTTACACTGATATCTTATTTGGTTCCCCTATATTCCTGCCATAAGTGAAACTTTCAAATTTTCTTTAATGAATTAGTGAAATGATCAGTGTAGATGTTGAATCCCTATTAGCAATCTAAGACTTTACAGAATTTACAAAAATTAGCTTGCAAAATTTTAATAGTTAAAGCAGATGCGCTAGGTTTTAAATTTTGTTTTAAGGAAAAGATGTTTTGATATGAAGTTAGACATTTAAAAAATCTGCTTAGATATGATGGTTTTCTCTAGTCTTTACCCATCTTATTCTTGGGCTTAATTTTCCCAGTCTGTGAAAGAAGGTATATGCTGTCTCTGAGGTTTCAAGAGTCTCAATACCCCTTACCTTGAAGGTGACGCAGTGTGAGAGAGCATGCTGGGGACCAGTCAGAGACCCCATAAGATGATTCCCAGACTTCCTGCATGGTGAGAACCAGAAATCAAGACCTGGGGACTTATGGGGATTCTTTGCACTTACTCTTCTCAGTTGCTTCTTTCTCCTCGTTGTTTACATTCAAGCTCCTCATCTAAGTTTGACTGTTTGGGCTTTGCACTAGGTCAGTTTAGCATACAAGAAAGAGAAACACTATTTTAAAAAGAAGAGTTATTCTTGTCATGTTAATTAAGGCTCAGTTGACTTTATTTTGTACCTCACATTTAACATAGTAGTATTTCTTAATAGAATGTTTGTTTTATTAATAGAATATTATCTGTTCTAACTATACTATGGGATTCCTACATAGGGGAAATATTAATATTTCCTTTTAGTTTTAAGACCTTTTATGATTAATAAAGCATTTTTGGACATTTCATTGAATTTGATCTTCTCAATAATGCTATTATTGCTAAGCAAAGCAGGTATTTCCATGTATAGCAGAGAAAATTCACCCTCAGAGAAATTAAGTGATTTGACCAAGCTCACGTGACTATTAAAAGGTGAAGTTAGAATTCAAATTTTCTGAACCCTTTAATTTTTCACACTATAATTTTATGTTACACACAACATGCAGTAATGTCTAAGAGTGTGTGTGTGTATGACTGTGAGTGGAGGGGTATAGGGGAGAGCAATAATGAGGCTCATTTAAAACAATTATAAAGTGCTACCAAAAGGTTTTAACAAGGAATTACAATTTTTATGTTATGAATTTAGAAAATATAACATGTATTTCCAAATACAGATTTTTAACTAATCTTTTCAAATGAGGACTATATATATCTTTTGTCTTAAACACATACATAAATACAGAGATAAGGTAAATCCCATATCTTAGTGTCATTTTTCATGCACAGGTTTTAAAGCCCTTAAAAAATGTCCTTAAGCCCATCTGTACTGAGGCCACAAGACCACAAGAAGCAGCTAATTCCATGAGGAGAGGCAATGATAAAATGTCTACTGTACACTATACCTGAGGGAGAGGATAGAAGAGAATCCTTTTGTCCAAGGTTCTCCATAGTCTATGGATGAATCCAGAGATAAGATTTAAGGATCTTAACAATAACCACATTAATTTATGGTTTTTACTAATTTATCATCCTTGGTGAGCTGATCAGAATCTGCCCAGTCCTTGCTGCTCAGAGAAGCACCTTCTGTCCTCATGTCCTTGCACCCTGCTTTAGTTAGGGGTCCCTAGAGGTCTGTCTTTAGAAGGTGGGCCAGTCCTACTCAGGGCTACAGTCTTTCCCCACACAGTGTTCAGGTTGGCATCAGGTGGCTTCACTTCAGATTCTGAGTGCTGCCTGAGCCTGGCCCTACCACTCATGGCTGACGTCTGGCCCCAGACTCCTCTCCTGGGTGTCTGTTCTACTACCGTCCCTGATTCTGACCTTCCCCAGCTTTCATGGGAGCTTACCTGCTCTAGGCACATACCTGTCTTCAGCCTGTAGTGTTGCTTAGTCTTAGGTCCTGTGGAGATTTGTGACATTGTGTCCTACATGATGTTGAGTCAGAGCTGGACACTGGCGCCCAACTGCTGATTCACATCCTTTCTCCAACAGTGACCTGCTGTGGGAGTTACTGAACCTCACGAGGCTCATCTGTAACACTGAATAATAAGACATGTCTCTGTGTCCATCACTTAGAATAGTGCCGGCCCTATTTAAATGTTTACTTATTATGATTGCAAAAAATGAATTATGCAGCCTTTCCTAAGGCTATGGTTTCTTGAAGAAAAAGAGAAACTATAAACCTTACTGTTTTTATCAGTTAAATTTTTTTATATGGTGGTAGTTAACTTACGAAATAAATGATGATGAGAATGAGGCTATGGACAAACAATTTGGGCAGAAATTTCCCTCTACCTCTCTAGGTTCTTCTCAGGCTGGTTGAGTAATCAAATTAACATTGACAGATTAGTAGGAGAAAAGGACAAATTTAATTACAAACATATAGAGGATATACTAGGATGTGCAATGGGGCAAACCAAGGCTGTATGTCCTGAGCTAAGAAATGGGATCGAGGCCTGGGGGCTTCAAGGAGAGGGAGGGGCTCACATGGCATCCAGATGCTGTTTGCTCTGCCATATACATAGGTTTCTCTGATAAAAAGGTATTTCTGATAAAAACCCTAATTCTGGGTAGTATTCTCAATTTTCATTCTTCTAGGTAGTTAAGGGAATGGTAAGTTTCTCAAAAGGGCTTCAGTCGACCTCCGTTTGAAATAATATATGTGTCAAAGTGACGTGTCTTAGGGAAGCCTGTCCTTCATTAGCTTTGTATTGGGCTGTTGGAATTGTTGACGCATTTTACTTGAAAAACGCAGAAAAAATACAACATGAATTTTTCCAACACCCCTGTGAAATAGGTTTTATAATTCTTATACCTATTCCATAGATAAGAAACTGAGGCCTAAGCCTGATAAGTAGTAGAGGCAGAGTTAGAACACAGGACCAGCTCACAACCAAGCGCATTAATGAACACATTGTGATTAATTAATTTTATTCAGAATCTGGGAGGTGGTAGTAGTTGTCAGTAGGTAGGAGATGCCATTTTACTTCTTTCTCTTTTTAAAAGATTTCCTAACAAATTCTTTCAAGTATAGTTTATATTATTTTAATAAGGAATTTATAAACTAATATTATAGGTATGGATTGCAAGTGTTCAGATCTATTGTGCTTAAAAAATAAAACCTGTCCAAAAGGGGACTTGGATTTGTTATTTCCTGTGTAGGGTAGGAGCTGCCTGTGGGGTAGATGCATTAGGAACAAATCCCTTTCCTCTCTGAATAGCAATTCAGTTGACTTATAAAAACCTTGACAGTGAGCACATTTTGATTGATATTGATAGTCAGTGTAAGAAACATGCAGCAGCAGAGATAATAAAACAAACCATGTGTTTCTTCTTCGGAAGAACTAAGCCTTTTCAAAAAAGAAACTGAAGACAGATTTTTAAATGTTTATCAATTCATTCATTTAGTATAATTTTCTTTCTCAAAAGGGAAATTACTTAAGACCATTTTGGTTCTGTTTCAATTCACCCAATTCAGCCATTCCTTGGATATTTTATTTTTATAGTTTATAAATTAAGCCATTTGAAATGGCTGATTGTGTCGTGTCAGCCAGTCGAAACTACAATGCTTAATAACAAATAGAGAGATACATAATTTTGGTTGCTTTTCTTTGGTTTTAAAGATATCTGGTAGCAAATTCAGTTGGTATTCCAGCTTGTTTAAAATTTACTCAGTCTGGAAACACTGAGTCAGGTTATTTTTTGCTTTTCAACTTGTTGGTGAAGGTGACTTTTGCAGCTGGCATCACTTGTAGTGTACTTTCAGATTACGTTCACATCTACTGCTGCAGGTTTTCTGAAGAACGTCTTTGGAGAAAGACTGGGCAGGAGTTATCATAGGACTTTGAAAGGAACATTGGAAAGGAGTTGAAAGACCAGAGTTCTAACCCTCGTTCTGAAGCGTATGACTGGAGTGACTACTGGATACTTCACCTTTTTTGAGCCTCCATTATCTCATCTGTTAAATTGGATCATCTTCAGTCCTGTTAATTTTTGCTTTTAATTTGGTGAAATACACATAACATAAAAATTTCACTTCAGCCGTTTGTCAGTGCGCAGCTAGGTATCATTAAGTATATCCATATTGTTGTGCAAGCAATCTCCAGGATTTTCACATTTTACAAAATCAAAACTCCTGTCCCCATTAAACAACTCCTGTGTTCCTTTCCAGAAGCCCCTGACAATCACTCTTTTACTTTGTCTCTGTGAATCTGACTACTTTAGAAACATCATATAAGAGAAATCATACAGTATTTGTTTCACTTAGTATAAAATTTCACTTGGTATGTTTTACTTATTTCACTTAGTATAATGTCCTCAAGATTCACCCACGTTTACCATAGGCTGAATAATATTCTGTCGTAGGTACATGCTGCATTTTCTTTATTCATTCCAGTGCTATATTTTAGATATAAAATTTTAAATTTTCTGTGATCCTTGTCAGGTGGACAAAGTTGTGACCTGCTAAGGAGAATACAGCTTGGCCAAGGAATAGTGGCAGGGTAACGGTGGCAGCCAGCAGTACCACTGCCCCCAGGCTAGTGCTCCTTCCTTAGAGCAGGTTGTTCTCCTGGCCAACAGTGTTGCTGAGAGAAGGGTGATGTGGTGAGTCCACCCATGCTAACTTAAGGTGATAACGTGACTTTGGTTCAGCACATGTAGGGGTTGACCTTGCTCATCTTTTTAATGGGCTCTTCTCAAAAGGATGTTCTTTTTTAATCAGAATTAAGTGAACTGTCACTTGATCTTGAAGTATAACAAACCAACACATAATTAGGTGGTTCTCTGCTGAGTGGTATTTTCTTGTGACAAAGAAAATTTTAGAAAAATGCTGCCGGAGGTAGCTGCTATGTTACGCTTTGCTCTCCCTTCCTGTCCGTTGCCCCAGTCCTTTTGTCAGTCTAAGTGTGGCTGTGTTTTGGCTTTTAAGCTGTTTCTGATTTTGTTAAAGGCTCAGACTGCATTTCTTGCTGCAGTCTGTGAAGAAAATTGAAGGATATTTGCCACCGTCCAATTGTCATAATTATAGCATATGGTTGTTGAAAGCGGAAAAGGGCAATTAGCGAGAAAATTCCTTCCTTGTCTGCCAGAGACGACAATGAAAATGGCAGATTTAGCTGCTGACACTTCGCACTTTGTCAGAGAAATCTTTTGAGAGCCCTTCCCCTGATTTACTGGGAACAAGAGCAGGCATTTCTGTGCCCAGGTCTGGATGTCTGTGTCTGGAGTGCTGTGACTCTGAGCTCCCCTTCTGTGTTCCTGAAGTCTTATGAACCACAGGCTGATCACCTCGAGGGCCCTGATTAGGCCTCAGTGCACCTTCTCAGGGAGGAGAGGTCATGTCAATTAAAAAATCCAATTAAAAAAATAAAAAAATAATTAACCCTCCCAAGAACTCTATAGACCAGCAAGTCGTAGCTCCAATTTACACAGGAGGAAAGAGCCGCAGCTCATTTAAGTGACTTGCCCAAGATTATGTAGGGAAGGGACAGTTGTCTCCATAGGAGACTCTGTCCTGACACGGAGCAACATCATTACTCTATTATCCCTCTTGTGTTTTGTTCTATTTCTTTAGGGAAGCAGTTTTAAGCTTTCCTCTTCAATGTCTCCCTCCACCCAAGTGTCAGGGTATTACTAGCTTTGTTATGTGATGAGACTTATCGTTGTTTCTTTTATTTAAATACAGAACCTGGAGAAAACTGGTGTATCAAGGAAAAATGGCATAGGTAAGTAATTATTTTTAAAACTTAAGAATATGTACTGAGGTATATTTCTTGCAAATTGTATTTCAGTGTGGTGAATTTTTTTCAGCTGCTCTTCCTTTGGCCTAACCCAGTGTTTACCCTCATAAAGACACAGGGAGAATGCTTTTCAGGTTAACATATTGGCATAAATTATGTGTTGAAGTAACAGCTAATATGTTGGATTTAATTGCCTCAGCCATTATTTCTTGAATTTCCAGTAAGGGCAGATTGCCAGGCCAGGTAGGCACCATCCGGGCTACAGGGATGAGACATGGTCTCCGTTGGGAGGTGCTCACATTTATTGGAAACAAAGGGCGAACTATGTCCTTTGCTTGTACCCTCTTTTGCCTGGAGCCAGCTTCCCCCCCCATTCCCTCGCCCTCCCCACCCCTAGACACCACTTGCCCTTCAGGGCATCCTTTGTCAGAATCCTCCTGAGATCCCTGGTGTGGGAGCAGCTTCTTGTTGCCTTGCAGACACACTGTACTACAGCCACGTCCATATACATTCTTATTGGCACTCACTTTTATTTATTTATTTTTTAGAGACGTAATTGACTTTATTAAATAATTCATGAGTCAGGCAGCATCCGATCTAGCAAGTGGAAAGGCACTGTTGCATTCACTTTTAAACACATTTTTTCCCCCTCATATGTATCAGAGATGTGACTTTTTGGTATTCCACTGGCAGCATGCCCCAGTGTGTTGATGGGAAAGGAAGGCCATATTTCTGGGTAAGGGTGGGTCTCTCCCTGAAGGTTGTGAACTTTGTCAGTCATGCCCAGGTGGGCCATGGCGACCCGGAAGGTGGACATAGACTAAAGGGAGAAGGGACACTTTCCTTTTTAGTTCTTCCCTCCTTAGACCTGGATTCTGAGGAGTATTGGTGAGTGCCTCCTTGGATAGTAGGGGTTTGTGCTGGGGCCTGTGGGGGTGTCTGTAACATGAAGTTAACCATAGGGCATGGATTGGGTCTGTAGACTCTGAGAGCAGCCTTAAGGCGCCATACTGGTTCATTGCTTTTTCTTCTCTACATTTAAACATTCTTGTGGAGTTTTTCTCTCTGCTGCCAACCCTGGTGATTTTAGGAATTCCCATGCTTATTTAAAGGGAGTAGGTGTGTCTTGCAGTAAATATTTAATAAACTAATGACCTCAGTCTAGAACATGGGCTTGAAAATACCAAGGAGAAATTTACTTTGGACAAGTAAATCTATATCCTTGCAATGGCAAATGGTAACTTTCGTGATAATTAGCTTGATATCAGTTCATCTCAAAAAGAACCAGGGGGCTTATTTGCCGCAACTGTGAGTCTCTATGACCAGGTGGTTACTGAGCAGCTGCCCCAATAGGGTCAGCCTTTAGCTCCTGGTGTCACAGTACTCAGGGCTGGGTGATAGGCTCCGAGGGCAGGCCAGCCTTTTTCTCCCCCTTCAGCTCTGTGCCAGCTATTCTCACCAAGTAAATCATGGTATATCCATTTGTGTGCATATTTATCCCTCAGCCTTAAGGCTTAAGGCTACTTGTTATTCAGCTTTTAGTAGAACATCACAGAAAAATACTAGCATGATCAAATTCTCTTATCTAGGTAGTTTCTCCCCAGGAAAGATGAGTGCATAGTAGGGTACATGGTTGCAAATGGTAGGTGCTCAGTAACCAAAGAAATAGCCTTTGATTTCTTTCACCTTCAAAGAAGGAGCATTTCTTCTGCAGGAATCCTTTCCTGCTCTCTTTTTGGTTCTCTCTTTGCTATCTGCTGCTTCCTCCTGGCTTCAGAACTACATCGGTCCTTGCTGTCTCCTAGACTCATTTCTTTATCTTCCTTTCCTACCCTGTCATGCTCATCATTATTTTTAGGCACTTAACGTATGACCCATTTCTTGCACGTTCTTGCAGAAAAACAGTGATGATCTGTCTTGAGTTGTGACAGGACTTGCTGATGGCAAATTGCAGTGAGTTAGAGGAGGGCAACCAAAGTGATAAGGAAGAACATAGTGGAATTTTCTTATTTAGCTCCACTGACTGGAAATGAGAGCTCAAGGGTCAAATGGTTAGATGACATAAACAGAGGAGACAGCTACCACGATGAGCCCCAGGATGGTGACTCAGCCAGAATATGATTTAGTGAGGAATTAAATGTATGTCAGAAAATATTTCTTGGTGCAGCAATATAACCATGAGAGCTGTTTGTAGCACCAAACTCCACCAACCTGCTGCTTTTTTGAAATGGGAGTGGTACTAAGTGAGGCATAAATTATTTCCTGTCATTGGCTGTTATCAGGGGGTAGAAACTGGTGTGCCCTTCATCTTCAGCCTCTTCTCTGCAAACTCCCACATGCCCTTGTCCGTGCTATCTACTTGAGTCCTGACTGACGGTAGGGTCCTAAATTCTACTTGCTGTCGTAAACTTCTGCTGCTCTCTGTTGGGGAGGTCGTTCTTTTGATGTCCCTAGGACCAGTGGCCTCATCCCTTCTGCTGTGAAGGCCCCACTAGCCCCTCTTCTCTGGGACTTTGAATGACTCCCGAGCCCTTCCCTAGTTTGAAAGCTGTTAATCTACGCTAGCCTTTGAGCATGGCATGTAAATTCTTGATTAGACCTGGCTGCCCACCCTCCCTCTCTAACTTTATCACTGACTGTTCCCTTGGTCCTTTTCTCAGAAATGCCTGCAAACTCCCTGCTCATCCACTCAAGGATGCTGCAGAGATAAGGCTAACTGGACACTGTGATAACCCCATTTCTGTCCCTGCCAGAGATCTGTTACCTTCTGGCTTGACTCTGCAGAAAATTGCTCTTTTAAAAAGCAACTCCAAAAACACTTCCTCCCAGAGATTCTCCCAGCACGTATCTCCCTCCTTTGTGCTCCCTGGTTTTCCATGCTCAGCTCCAGCTTTGGGTTGTATTGGCTGCTGAGGTCGACTCAGACACAGGTACTGGCCTGTGCTAGTTCATCTTTGTGTCTCAGAGCCTTGCATTTGATAGGGGCTTTAGTGATGTTTGCTGAGTGATTGCATGCAGAAGGTGTGATTGAAACACCGTGTGTAGCAGGAAGCCATGTTAAAAAGAGAAGAAACAAATACAACTTGCAGCACATGACTCAGGAATACCAAAGGGGGGGGGAAGAATTTGCATTTTTCTTCTTGCATAGCCTCTTCTCTGCATGGAAGAACTATTGTCTTTGTTAGAACAGTGAGAGCTTTGCTGATGTGGTAGGAGTGTCAGGAGTTGGTTACTGTGGTGAGTGCAGGATTAACCTTTTGACAGATGAATCTGCTCTTGTAAAAATTTTCTTGTGAGTTGCTTTGAATATACAAAAAGCTACAAAGGGCAATAGAATAAGCATCCATGTATTTACCACCTAATTTAAGAAATAAAGCATTACTAAAACTTTCAATTATAGAACATTTCAAACATACAAAATCAGGATAATAAATTTTATGGACCCACATGTGCCACATGTTGACTGTTCAACAATGGTCAACTTCAGTACTCCCTCTTTCCCGCCTCAGATTATTTTGGAGCAAATCCTAGATATTGAACAGTTTTACTCACATGCATTTCAGTGTTTATCCAAAAGAGGTAAAGATTTCTCTTCATAAACATAACCATGGTTCATTGTCACATCATCAGTTTAACAATTTCTTAATATTTATAGTTGGGATTCAGACTTCTCAAATTGCTTCAAGTTTATCTTAGAGTTGGTTCATTTCAGTCAAGATCCAAATTGGTTCCTGTTGGTTGATATGTATCTTTTAATCAATAAGTTCCCCTTCAATCTCCCTTTTATTTCTTGCAGTTTATGTGTTGAAGAAACTAGGTAGTTCACCTGTAGAATTTTCATGACCTGGATTTGATTGATTGCATCTCTGTGGTGACATATAATAAGCTGCTTTGTTCCCTGTATTTCTTGAAAATTGGAGGCTTTACTCTGGTTCAGTGATTTTGGCAAGATATTTCACAGTTGGTGCGGTTTCCTTTCAGGAGACGCACACTGTGTGCGCTCTGTTTCTGAGCTATGAACAGCCATGCATGCTCACTACCCAAATCCATCAAGTGTTGCAAACTGGTGAGGTTCTAATTTCATTATCCCTTCATTTATTACTAAAATTCTTCCATTTACACATACATGTATTTTTATGTAGATATGTAGTGTTTATCCATTTTTATGTATTTTTTGTTCCTGTTCTTAAAAAACATTGATTTACATAGTTATTCCTTCACAGCTTTCTTCCTCCCAGCATTCTGTTTATAGTATTCATCTGCAATATCTATCTGGATTGATATGTGTATTGCCAGTTAATTTTTTGTTACTCCATAATATTCCCATTTATGTATCTTATTATCGGATAAATATTTGCTTGCTTCTAATTTGTTCCTATTACACCATTCTGCTGTGAGCACTCTTGTTATGTAGTCTTGTCCACACATGAGATTCTCTCTAGGATGATTAATAGAAATGGAATTTCTGGGTTGTTGGGAATGTGCATCTTCAACTTTATTGAGCTTTGCAAAAATTATTTTCTCAAGTTTGTTTACTCCATTGTAAACCAAAACAAATCTTCATGACTCTTTCTATGTCAGTTTATTTTAATATTTTAAATGTAGCAAATAAAAGATTACATTTCAGTTGAAATATATGATGGTCTGTTTAAGCCTTATCTGTATGCCTGATTTATATAGTGAAGGAACTGATTCAAAATAGAGATGTGTATGTAGAATGTTCTTATTTGTGTAAACTCCTACAGAAAAGGAATTAGGTCATTTTAGTAGGTTGTTCAGCATTTCCTTTTAAATTTTTTATTGAGTTTTAACCAAAGAGCATTTTGGGTTATTTTTAGTATCTAGATGACTCACTCTTGAACTGTTTGTTGCATGAATATTTGAGTGAATGGATAAAAGAATGGAACTATGGACCTGAACATGAGACATGTACTATTGTAACAATAAAATTGAAGCCAATTTTATTGTTCCTGAGTCATGGTGTTAAAGGGAAAGGCACAGGTGGGCAAAGGTCCCCACATTCATCTGTTATAAGCCTGGCTGGAAGCTGCAATTTGTGTGACATCTGCCTCCTAACAACACCCTGTCTGGTGGCTGAGTGCTGCCACAATGGCTCTGTCTATTTATTTATTATAAGTTCAGAATCTGGGGAGGTCTGCGCTTCTCTGGTGTGGGGGCCTAAGCAGCTATCTGCTGGCAAGACCCTTTCATCTTCCCTGGTCAGGTAGAAATGACATAAGTAGGTAGGGTTTCCTCTCTGCCTGACTGCCTTGAAGCATCTCTCAGGGACTGACAAATATAGCCAGTGCTGAAGAGACCTTTTTTTTTTTTTGACACTTCTTGCTATCACCCTGCTACTATGAAATTGTGGCTGTTTTCCTGCAAATAATACCTAATGCTGGCTCGGTGCTTTGTGGGCTAAAGTAGGTAATATTGAGTCATTCATTTATTTACAAGTTCATGTAAACTGGTGGGACATATGCAGTCCTGGTGAGTGTCTCCTTAAAGGGCCACACAGAACATTTTTGAGGTTGTATATTAGTTTGATAGGGCTGCTGAAACAAAGTACCTCAAATTGAGTGACTTAAACAACAGGAATTTGTCTCATGGATCTGGAGGTTGCAAGTCTAAGATCATGGCATCGGCAGGGCTGATTTCCTTTGAGAAATTTTTGCTTGTCTTATGGACTGCGCTCTCCCTGTGTCTTCACATCATCTTCCCTGAGTATGCCTCTGAGTTCATGTTTCTTCATTTCAGAAGGACACGGGTCTTTTGACTAGTGCCCATGCTAACAAGCTCACTTTAATTTGATGATGTCTGTAAAGACCTCATTCCAAATAAGGTCACATGCAGAGGTACTGGGGATTAGGATTTGAAAATGTGAAATTTGAGGGACACAATTCATCCATACCTCGTAGCAGGACAATGTGGGATTATGTCTGAATTGTTAGAAGGCTACTTGCAAACTTTGTGTCTTCAGCTACTAGGAGGTTAGTGTTCTAGACATTTCCATACTTTTACATGTTTACAGTTGCTCTTTTTGACAGATGCCAGAGCGAAGTCACAGTTTGTGAACACAGATTTGGTCTAGTACAGTGAGCTTATTTACTTATCTTCTAGGAAGAAAGATTTGGAGATCAGTTTAAAAAGAGATTTCGTCACTAGACTTACATATAAATTGATTTTTTCCCTTAAGAGCTTATTGCCTAAAGGCTTGCCTTGTAGCTGTTCTTTAAAAAATGTTTTTATTTCAGTTGTTGGTAAAAAACAAATCCCTGAAAGCTTTTTTACTTTTTTTTTGGTTCTAGATTTAAAAGGAATTGTATTTATCATCCAGAGTCAAAGTAATTCTTTCCATGCAAAGAGAGCAGAACAATTAAAAAAAAGCATCTTAAAGCAGGCTGCAGACCTTACACAGGTATGTAGAGGTGGCTTGATGTATCTGCTAAGATTTATTTCTTGATACATTTGTATTTTCCAAAGTACTTGGTCTATAGAGAATCAGTTTTATTTACAGCTCTTCTGACTCATTTTGCTATTTAGTATTGATTATTATTTAAAATGTGGTAGTTAATCTTTAAAGCTCAAAGCATCATATTTTAAATTATTATATATATATATTTTAACTTAAGGGAATTATATAATTGTGGCCGACTTGTGGTTTTGTCATCAAGTATGATAAAAAGAAGTGGAAGAAATAACTTTAAAAGCAGAGCTTAAAATAGCAGAGACAATTAATGTTTAAAATATTGGTAACAAGTTCTAAGGCAGTTTTCATGTTGAAATAACATTTTCATTAACCTTAGTGGGGTGCTCTCTCTATGAGTTTCTTAATCTGCTGTTTTAATTGGATATCTCTAATTGAACTTTTGATTTATAATATAATATCCAAGAAGGATTATGAAGAGAAAGATCGACCAACATAAACAGGTACATTTTGATAATGTTGAAAATAGGCATGAATGGAATCTAAAACTGCTCTGAATTATGCTGGAGCCTCGGGCCAAGGAAGATCCACTTTCTTGTGCTTTCACATAGATGCCTTTGTCTTTAGCTGAGCCAAAAAATTCATCGGAACCCATTACACTACATTGCTATGGCTTTCACAACAGAAGTGCCTGTCTGTGGATCTGTGCCATCTCTTGGTCCTCTCAGCAAGAGTTCTTTGACAAGAGATGTGTGTGTTTGGTGGATTGCTTTTTCTTGCTGTTATTGGTGGTGGGTACTGGGAAATAAGGAGTTGAAAACATCAGTGAAAAAATTAAGAACCATGGTGGTATCCATGGCAAAGACACTGCTGAGAGTAAGGTTTATTGTGCTTAATCTTTAAGTGCTTTGCATATAAAAGTCATCCAGCCTTCCAGCCTCCTATTATGACAGGTCTTTGGTTCCCCTACACAGAGCATCATAGCTTCTTAAGGAAGAGAAAAGAATCTCATGGAATAGACAGATTGTGTTTTTGGTAATTGGAAATAGAAGCAGCTTGATAATCTAAAATTCTCCTTTGTCTGGAAATACAACTTTTAGAAATTTTCTTCTGCTAAACCTTTCCTGAGTTCACCAGAGGGGCAGACATGGAGTAGTCTGGACTGACTTCTTCCATTTGCTTGGGTAGTGGTGCACATGCATCACAACACCGGCTGCTGGAGGGTGGAGGGGGATCTGGCAGCACAAATAATGCATCCGCTGGGTCGAAGCAAACATTCATGGACTCTAGCTCAGTCAGGCCTTGGCAGTTACTCCAAGTTGTATAATCCATGATCATGCCAGGACAGTTGTGATTAGGGCACAGGTATCCATATGCACCTGCATATGTCCTTGCTTTCAGATATACTTTCCATTGTGTAAAAGCCCATTCATGTGTTTCTGATTTATGTGTCTTCTCCATTTAATCCATACTGATAAGTCCTTGCCATTTATGTGCATAATTATATCTGCTGCCAACTAAGGCTAATTGAGTACACCACGTACTTCCTGACTTATTTGTCGACTTTTTTTTTTTTTTGGGCCATTTTTTGTGCAGATGGGTGCTCATCACTGATCCTCAACCTGCCTTTACTCTCTTAAGAAGAGTGGCTTTCAGGGAACTATGGAGTGGGGGGGGCGCACAGGAAATACTCCCAATACTTGGTTTCGAGTGGGGGGGGGTAAGGCTTGTGGACATTTAGATATGAAACTATGAATTATTAAAAAATATTAATTATAAACCCCCTTCTCTTCTTCCCTTTAGGAAAAATGAGACCTGGGAGAGTGCTGTTAGAGATTGGGAGCACCTGCTCCTTTGGGAGGCCCTGGGGCTCTGCAAAGACTATAGGTGCAGTGCCTACAGAGGCTTACAGCTGGTTTTAGGTTCTAGATGGAGATGGATGCAGGTTCCCACCTAAACTGAAGTTGTATTTGTATTTAGGGAGGAGGATGTGTGGTGGTTGGAGCTTCTCCTCGAGGCAGATGGCAGGAAGTTGAGGGGACGTGGTTCCAGCAGAGCCGTGGGACCCTCCAGTGTTCATTACATTTGCCAAGACAGTTGCAACAAAACTTGTTAACAAAGGTTCTTGTCTCTCGACCCCAGTTCATTTCCTACTACTCACCACCTTGTACTTTGTTTGCCAGTAATTTCAAGATTCTTACAGTTCCTGGCATCACCCTGCCTCTGCGGTTTGGAACATGTCGATGCTCATCTTCTTGTCAAGCTCTGCATGAAAGCCGTCTGGGCAATTTCCTGACCTGCAGTGGCAAATTACTTCCTCTGGTTCCACTTCCATGTCTTGCACAAACTTCTGATATATGCTTTTCACTTTCTAGCTTTAGTATTTGCTATATCTCTTTCATAAAGATACAGTGAGTGTATATTACAGAGACTATGCCTTACAGGCTTTTGATGCCTCAGAATGAAGCTCAATGCTCTGTTTTGCCACTGAGTTCTCAGTGGATGTGTACTCCACGGAATCCCTTAATTTCATTACTCCATCCCTCCCACTCTTGTTTTCTATTGTACTAGGCATTTGTTTTTACTTCTGTTATGATACAGTCACCTTTTCACCTTTGCCCGCCACCCCTCCCACCACCACATGCATACCATATTAAATTGCAAGTTCTTTGAAGGCAGACACTTGGCTGCTTTTGTTTCATCCATAGCACCCTCTATGGGTGGATATTCAACATTTGGCAGTTGAATAGAATCCAGAAGAAGTTGAACATACTAAAATATACTTTTAAAGTAAATTATTTTACCTATTTTAAAATTTCCTATCAAGTCTAAAATTAGTAATATCTCATATTAAAGATAATAGCTATTTATAGATATTAAAAAACCAGAGGTTTTTTTTTTCATTTTGATGAGTAATTATGTTTTAAAATATAGTACATTTCAGAGATAATTTTTATATATAAAGTCTGGGTTAAGCCAATGACTTTTTAATCATGTCTTATTTATTATATATATATATATATTTTTAATTGTTGAAGTACCATTGTCTTACATCCTGGACAGTATAAGAGGTCCCCCCTCAGGGGTAGTCACTATAGCCCTCCCACCACCAAGGCACCTCTCGTCCTCTATCATGGTCAAAGATTGGTTTAAAAGTTTGTTTTTGTCTGACTCTTTGTTTTGAAACCAAAGAGTTTAGGAAGAATATAAAATAGTTGTGTGTGAGTTGGTGCTAGGAAAATATGATCTCATGACTAAGTGAATCTTTGAGAGGCAGTATGGAAAAGAACCAGAAAATTTACTAACTTCTTTAAAACAGACAAGGTAACTGCTCTGCTCCAGATTTCTTCTGTCTCATTACTGGGCCATAGACTATAGTGACTTGTCCTTATTTGCGTGGGTAAAGCTGTCTCACCACTATCACAACTTTCCCAGTGTATGTATAGAGTAGCTTCCTTTTAAAGATGTGACCTTGAAGTTGAATGAATAATTTCCCCCTTGATACCATTGTCCAGAACTTAATCACATGGGCATAACTAGACTGGAAAGGTAATATAATGTTTAGTGAACCTGAGTTCAGCCAATATTCAAGGTGTTCTAAATCTCTAAAAGGAAGAAGGTAGGAGAGGAGACTGGGAGACAAATTGACATCTCTGCCAAAGTCAGGAATTTGTTAACATAGGACTCAGCTGATCTATAAAAATATATTCATTCATTTTTTTCATTCAATATTTGCAAAGCTACTGTGGGCAGAGTGTACTGGGCATACAAGGATCATCAAGGCTTAGTTCTTGTTATCTTTGTCTCTGAATTTGTATTCAACCCACGGTCCAGAATAAGAGACAGAGTCATTAATGGGCGCTTTGAAAGCAAGGTGGTAGTGCAGATATAGAAAGACAAGTACTGTGTGATTCCACTTACTTGGGTATCTAAAGTTGTCAAATTTATAAAGTCAAAGACTGTAGTGGTAGTTACCAGGGACTGGGGGAGAGGAAATGAGTTGGCAATAGGCATAAAGCTTCGGTTAAGTAAGATGAGTAAACTAGAGATTTGCATTATGACATTGTGTCCTACAATCAACATACTCTGTTGTACACTTAGAACATAAGAGGATAGAGCTGATATTAAGGGGGGTTGGAAGTAGTGAGGGTTATCTTGGTAGACAGCCAGGTAAAGGCAGCCAGGTGAGAGCCAGGTGTGTGTGGGCACTGCATGTGGTCCTGAGGTGGACTATCAGGGAGGCCAGCCTGCGAAGTTGTGTAGGGACTGGACCACAGAGGAGCTGTATGTCATTTTGAGAACCCAGACTTTTCAGGGGGCACTGCTGGTATTTTGAGAGGCATTCCTTTTATATAAAACACATTTAGCATCTCTGATCCCTGGCCGGGACATGTAGGAGCAACTCCCAGCCTCTGTTATTACTAGTATCCCTGGCTGAAAATGACTGCTATGGAGAGACTCCTAGAGTATTGACCGGGTTGGATTTGTGTTTTAAAATCATCACTTTGTTTTAAAATCATTGTGTTTTAAAAAAGGCTGTGAGCGGACAGCTTTAAGAAAGCCACAACTGGGACAGGGAACCTAATCCTTAGGCGGTTGGACTAGCTTAGCAGAGTGGTACAGACCTGGCCAGAGTGGGGTTGAGGAGGTTGGGCGTGGGCTGAGAGAGGTCAAGAAGCCAGGACTGAGGTGTGGTAGAGTGGGCCACAACATCTGAGACAGGATAGTTTAGGAGGTGCAGATGACTTTAGGGTTTCCATAGGTCAAATCTCAGGTAAGGTGTCACTGGCCAGGCTTGATATTTGTCTTAAACTCAGGAGAAAGGTTTGGCCCAATAGTGGTGGATTTGGGAGTGAGCAGCATACATAGGTCTGGTAGGTGAAAGCTTGATGGTACTGCTTCCAGGGGGCCGGGGACCATGGGGAAACCATTGTTTGGTGCTGGGCAGAGCAAGAACAACTCTCCACGGAGATGTGCAGAGACACAGAGAG